TATTATCAGAACTTCAGACAAACCTATCACTTTTATTTGCTCCAATTTTCACTCGTCTTCCCAAGAACAAATACAAGAAGAGAGTATCTTTTTTTCTTTTATTCTTCAATCATCAGCCTAAACATTAACAAAGACATGATCCAAGTTGTCAATGTTATTAATACAGGTCAGGTAATCGGAATTGATTGATTGTAAGCATCATCAATAATTTTGCTGATTATCTAACTCCTATAAATCTTTAGTATATATACAATTCAAGAATCAGTTAGAACAGATGACATTGAATAGAAATGATCATGTAAAGTAATTTAGCATGGATATAGACCAGACAGTAGGTAAAGTAATTTAGCATGGATATCGACCAGACAGTAGTTATGGGAGTTTTACTTTCAAGAAGACCCCTAAACTCTTTACTCCCACAAACTTTATCAATTTTATTCGAGTATTATTGTTTTTTATAGAGAACTATAGTTCTGATGGAATGTGAATAAATGGTTTGGCTTCCAAACAGCAGTACGTTATATAACATTGTTAAGGCAATGACAAGTCAATGGAGGTGAATTTGTGATACTTTCATCAAAATGAAATAGATAAAAGGCGTATTATATTTTATGAAACTGGAGTAGCACTTGATCTTCAGAATTTTGCGCCTTGGATGAAGTGTTTATGATATTCCAGTAGAAATGTTTAAAAATTGATTAACATACCTGTTCCATTGTACACCTTACATTTGGATCCTTTTTCAGACAAGATTCAGCAACTCGTACCATCCAGAGAAGTTGGTGGACGTCATGGGAGTCTGCAATTCTTTTATCAATGAGGTCTGGATAGATTTTTGATTCCAGAAGTGGTTTTGCCTGTCAGAAGTATAATCTCAAATGAGAATTTTAAAAGGTTATAATCACTAGCTTATAAGAATTATCCAACATTTCTATAAAATAACAGAAAAATTAATTCCATGAAAAAGATGTACCCATCCAACGAGACTTTTCCCCTCGGGAATCTTATCCGTTGTCCTTAGTCCAGTGATAAGCTGCAACATAACCATTCCAAATGAATAGACATCTGTCTTTGTCGACATTTTTCCGTGTTCTGCATATTCCGGTGCCATGTACCCAAGAGTGCCAACCATGCCACTATATGAGGTAACAGAATCATCTTCTTGGGCTTTTGCAAGACCAAAATCTCCCAGCTGTTAAAGAAAAATTCACTATTTGGATGAAAAGGATTGTTTTATAGTGAGTATGAAAATAATCGACATTATCCCGGCATGGTTAACCCACAATTTATGCATCCTGTTCCGAATTATAGAAGATTAATAATGTTATTTGGAATTTTAGCACAATGGGCTTGTTGCGGAAGCTCACTCAAAAGGTCTTCAAACGGTGGTTTTCCAGGCTCAGTCCAACGTACCTTTCTCTACCAACAACCAATCCAAACGGCTCCAAACCACAACCAATTGATTCACCTTGGTTGCTATTCAATCTTACCCACGTAGGACAAGAAAGGATGATGATTTATCGCCACAAAGGCTAAGAGAAGACACCACAAAGGTATACTATGAAAGAATCACAAATTGCACACGTTATACCAGCGTTCTGGACACTTCTGGACACCTTTTTTCTCACACAAAAGGGGGCAGCCGGGATTCTCTTGTTTCTTTTCTCAAAACCACACAATCATCATATCAAAGAGGCTAGGGTTATATTCATATATATACTCTAGGGTTAGGCTTTAAGTTGGGCCATTAAAGGGGTAAACGGGCCAAGATTCAAGTCATCCATAAGGAATACAATTGGGCCGGGTGTAGCTCATGGACTTGGTTGTTAGACTTATTTCATTCATCGGCCTATGCCTATGAAATAATATTAACCCACGTTAACATCATAGCCCGGGATTTATTGGGTATCAAAAACCCAACAAATCTCCACCTTGATGCCCAATAAATTTGCAAGCAATCAAAAACACACAGTTAACACTTGCATAATCAAGGTAGCCAATAAAATTGGATCACAGACCTTACCTCGTGTTTCCAACTTGAAACACATACCATACCTGCTCCATGTACTCACTGGGGCAAAGGCCAAAAACACCCAAGTAGAAACAAATATTTAACAGTAAACAATCAAGAGCAAATACACATGCAATGACGATATACTATAGGATAACACACACAGATCTTTTCAGAAACATGTTCACATAGAACCATAGATTAACACCAAGTCAATCAAACCACGGTCAACCACATATGCAACACATGCATAAATGACCCTAAGAAAAGATCTCACCACACTTATCCTATCCCATTCCGTGTTGCTCACACCTTGAGAACACATATCTCCTCTCATCGCCCACCACGCTCACTAGACAGATCACTCAACTCATGTCTAACTGGTGAGTCACAATAGATCCTAAATCCACGGAATTATCCTCTATCTCCACATCACTTCTCCCAACCTACGTGGATAATGGGTCTCCACCTAACAGAAGTGATAGAAGTGTCTCTCTCACACTCCATCTGATCAGGGTCTCTTTCCAGATAAAGGATCCTAGATATTTGATCACATCTCCACTCGTGATCCAAATGTCACACTCCACATCCCCCATGCATATCATCAATGCACCTTTAGGCATCTATACTCCACCTTACCAAAAGACATCCAACTCGCTGCTAATGCATCTCAAACTCACTATGGCAAAACAACATCTTTCGGTGACCACAAAGGTTAATCCACTCACCAATGCTCCCAAAAAATTCACAAAGAAAATAGTGAAGGTGGCACTCTCAAAGAGAATCGAAGAAAGAGTCGGTTACTTCACAACACTCACAAAGGAGGCTCACAAAGAGGAAGAATATAACCCTAAATGGCTGCCTCATATAATCTCACAAACCACACAGGCTCACAAAGATAAAGGAGAAAAATGGCTGCCCAACTTTCTTCTCACTGCCACACTCTCACACCACTCACAGAGTAAATTGAGTATGCCACAAAACTTAACCCACTATGCATGTAAACATATTACACAAAGTAATAAGTCACTCTAATTCATGCAATTACACATATCAAACATATTGAAAGTGTAAGATCAACATCGCAACAGAATTAAGTGACCACATACATGCAGAAATGATTACACACAGATGCAATGCAAGAACCAGGTTTATTCTCTCAATAAACCTCACTAGGATCACTACTCGACCCTAAAGTCATATTCGCCTTGTCTCTATCCTCATCTTTCCTTTTATTATCATCCTAGGACAATCTTTTTCAACTATGTCCAAATTTCACCACAGTTAAAATATATGTTATTTTTTGCATTTACCTTAGACCCACATTTGCCAACAATGCCAAATAATGACCACAAGTAAAGTATGAACATAATTCACATAGAATAGTCCAGTAAACTTTCCTAAGGCCACATGCAATTCTAATAATGTAGAAAAAATTGACAACAAATTCACAAAGAATTTAAGGCAAATAATTCCTAGATCTGACAACAGGCAATGGTTACCCCTTGATGGTAACTCCAAACCTAATGTCACCCCACACGATGACCTCTAATGCAAAAGATAAAATATTCTACACATTTATTTCAACTGCAATAATAAAAACAAAGAACACGATACCGAGCGGACCACGTCTGAAGGTCCGTAAATATCGAGAGACACGAATTCATCACTTTAGGACTATCACTATTTGTCCTAAAGTCTCTAAAAACTACAGCAACCAAAAAATCACGATCGAGTCCGGAACGCCCGAAGAACAACGCTGTCCAGATTCTACTATGTACCCTGAAACAGAAAACTTCCAACATGAAAAATGTCAGAAATAATATGAGGAACAAACTGCCTGAAGAGACCATCTTCAAATTCAGCCTCACGCGCCCTCACGTGCGGCCTCTCTTCTCTGCGCGTGGGCCTCATGAGCCACCACACGCGCCTTCGTCTACCTATACACGCCGCCCTGAAGGGTTCTCCTCCTCCTGCACGTCACGCCAGTGGTCTCCGTTTCCCCAAACCCCTTCTGGATTGATCAGAAAACGCGAAAAACGGAGACTGATTTAAACAGTTTTTGGACAGCTTCTTCGATCTGATTTCTGCTGCGTTTCTGCCTATTTTTTGGATGATTTCTGGTAGATTTCACGAGCCAAAACCTTCACCTTGAAGCTTTGATACCAATTTGTTGCGGAAGCTCTCTCAAAAGATCTTCAAACGGTGATTTTCCAGGCTCAGTCCAACGTACCTTTTTCTACCAACAACCAATCCAAACGGCTCCAAACCACAACCAATTGATTCACCTTGATTGCTATTCAATCTTACCCACGCAGGATAAGAAAGAATGATGATTTATCGCCACAAAGGCTAAGAGAAGACACCACAAAGGTATACTATGAAAGAACCACCAATTGCACACGTTATACCAGCGTTCTGAACACTTCTGGACACCTTTTTTCTCATACAAAAGGGGGCAGCCGGGATTCTCTTGTTTCTTCTCTCAAAACCACACAATCATCATATCAAAGAGGCTAGGGTTATATTCATATCTATACTCTAGGTTTAGGCTTTAAGTTGGGCCATTAAAGGGGTAAACGGGCCAAGATTCAAGTCATTCATAAGGAATACAATTGGGCCGGGTGTAGCTCATGGACTTGGCTGTTAGACTTATTTCATTCATCGGCCTATGCCTATGAAATAATATTAACCCACGTTAACATTATAGTCGGGGATTTATTGGGTATCAAAAACCCAACAGGGCTATATATCTCTAGAGCAAACCACCGGGAATTTCAATTCATGTTACTAGAGCAGAACCATCAGAACTTGACAAGATTGGTTTCCCTTGAATTGATTGAAATGTAAATTTTTACTGAACTCCAAATTGTACCCATGACTCATGGTCATGTGTAATGAGAATGTTGCTTGGTCTCATATCTCTGTGGACGATGTTGCGGGCGTGCAGACACGCTAAGCCTTTGGCAGCTCCCAGTGCTATTTTTATTCTCTTTTCCCAGTTGAGAGGCCTCTTACTGTTACCTGTACATTGGATAAATATAATCCTAAAAGTTCTGATTTTCTGGTTCAAATTAGAGCATTTTTTCGGTAAACTATAGTGGAGCCTCCTGAAAAATCTGTTTTGTGCAAAAAGAGAACAGAAACAGTAGCAGTTAAAACACTTTTTACCTGACAAGAGTTCTTCCAGTGAGCCATTGCAGACATATTCATAAACAAGTAACCTCTGGCTTCCTTTTGAACAAGAGCCCAGTAGCATGACTAAATTTTGATGTCTTACATGGCTAAGTACATGAACTTCAGATTTGAATTCTCTCTCCCAGAAGACTGGCAGCTTTGTGCTGCTTAACAGCTATTTTTAGTCCATTTTCCAACACTCCTTTAAATACAAAACCAAATCCACCTTCTGATAAGAAATTTTCATCTGAGAACCCCCCTGTAGCCTCATAAAGCTCTTCAAAAGTGAAGTCCCTTTGCATAGCAAGCTTAGGTTGCTTGTTTCTACAAACTGAACAAGTACTTTCAAATTCCTCTCTTGTTTGTGTCTTAGTTTCATTACCTTCCCCATTGTTCTGTTTCTTTTGCTCTCGTTTAATATATTTTATACCACATACTTCATTTTGGCCCTTATATTTGAGTGTACGACTATTAGAGTTTTCTTCAGCTACTTGTTTGGTCGTCATAATGTTCTCTATCTCCTGAATATCCACTGCAGACTGACTTGTCTCTATAATACCAGCAGTCGAGGCTAATACTTTGGAATTATCAAGAAAGTGCCTACTGCATCTGTTATGAGCTTGTTC